CTACCCACTTACACACAGATCCAGATTTTAGGCAGGCAAATGCTCAGAAAATTAAGGGCATTGCAGAAATCAGGATAAAAATAAGGTGCCATTTCTTTTAGCAGTGCAGACGCGTTATTTTATATATAATTTGAAATTTTCGTAACTTAATCTTCTTTGTGATATTTGATTTTTCACATACACAATGCATATGCATGTGTGCACACACCCCAATCCAACATGCCCCTGCTTCCTAAACCCCCACAGTATTATCTGTGATTTTGTTTCACTGCAATGCTATATTGGGAAGCAAACCTTGAAAATTTACAGCTGTCCAGAGGCACCTTTGTCTTGTCTGGATTAAATTTCAGTTTATCCACCATCATCCAGTCCATTACTGACTCCAGACACTGATCTAGAATTGAAGCCGCTTCTTTTGATTTAGATGGAAAGGAGAGAGAGAGCTGGGTGTTGTCCCCATACTGATGATTAGACATGGGCTTTTTGTATTTGTATCCCTGGTTGTCGTGCCAATCACAGAAGGAGCCCAACTGGCTCTTCACCTCCTCCCTGCATAGCTGACCACTTTCGCACAGAGGCGAGATGCGAAGTCTCCCCACTCAGTGTGGTGAACAGTGAGTGAACCGGCTGGTTCTGGGAGGAGGGAATGGGCCTCTGTGGTACCTGTGGTGCCATGAATAGCCCATGTCTACTGATGACACAGAACCTCAAAACTCCATATAACTTCTCTCAGTGGTTTCATATAGATGTTAAACAGCATAAGTACAAAACAGAACCCTGAGAGGGACCACAAATGCCCAGGGTGTTGAACAGAAGTCACCCAGCACTACCCTCAGAGTATTCCTCTCCAGGAAGGACCGGAGCCACTGTGAAACAGCACCTCCAGGTTCCATCCCAGAGAGATATCCCAGAAGGATACTTTATTTTTATTTTTATTATTTTGTTTACAGTGGTTTCATATAGATGTTAAACAGCATAAGGACAAAACAGAACCCTGAGAGGGACCACAGACCAATGCCCAGGGTGTTGAACAGAAGTCACCCAGCACTACCCTCAGAGTATTCCTCTCCAGGAAGGACCGGAGCCACTGTGAAACAGCACCTCCAGGTTCCATCCCAGAGAGATATCCCAGAAGGATACTTTATTTTTATTTTTATTATTTTATTTATTCAATTTATACCCGGCCCATCTAGACCGAAGTCTACTCTGGACGGCTAACAATAATACATAAAAGTAAAAACAATATAATAATATTAAGACAACAATATTAATACAATTCAAGATGCCAAAAGAAATTAGGTGATGACAGGAGGGAAAACCTGACTAAAGAGCCAAGTTTTAAGTTTGGTCTTAAAAACACCCAGCGAGGGAGCCAGACAGATCTCTGGGGGCAGACTGTTCCAGAGTCGAGGGGCCACCGCCGAGAAGGCCTGGTTTCTTGTTCTTTCTCTGTAGACCTCTCTTGGCATTAGTCCCCTCAACTGTCCATCTTGGCTAGAACAATTGATTCGGGTAAATCTAGGTGGGAGGAGGCATTCCCACCTAGATCTACCCGAGGTCCTAAACCATTTAGGGCTTTATGTGTCATCATTAACACTTTGAAATCAATGTGGAAATGAATGGGCAACCAATGCAGGGCAGCCAGAGTGGGGGAACTATACTGATATTTTCTCACCCCAGTAAGAAGTCTGGCTGCCGCATTCTGCACAATTTGAAGCTTCCACATCAATCTCAAAGGTAGCCCCACATATAGCGCATTGCAGTAGTCTACTCTTGACATTACAAGTGCATGGACCAGAGTGGTGAGCACGCCAACATCAAGATAGGGACACAGCTTGGCAATCCGCCAGAGATGGAAATAGGCGTAGCGGACAACTGACGCTATTCCTCACTCTTTCACGCCAAAGTCACTCCCCCAAAAGAGAGGGAGTTTCCCAAACCACCGATGGTGGGGCCACCCACCCTCAGGACCTCCGTCTTGTCTGGGTTCAGCCTCAGTCCATTCTCCTGCATCCATTGCAGTACGGCCTCCAGGCAGCGCTGAAGGGACGGAACAGCATCCATTGTTGTTGGGGAAAAGGAGATGTAGAGCTGGGTGTCATCAGTGTACTGATGACACGAAGCCCCACACTCCCTGATGACCCCACTCAGCAGCTTCTGGTCAACGGTACCAAAGGCAGCTGAGATATCGAGGAGGATCAACAGAGACATTTTGCCTCTGTCGGTCTCCCTCAACAGGTCATCAAACAGGGCAACCAATGCCATGGTCAATGTTATTGAAGGCGACAGGGAGGTCCAGCAAAAACCAATGTTATTGAAGGCGACAGGGAGGTCCAGTAAAAACCACAGGGACACACTCCCCCTGTCGAGTTCCCAATGCAGGTCCCCTTGTCCAGTTCCCAATGCAGGCCATCCACCAAGTTGACCAAAGCATTCTCCACCCCATAACCAGGCCTGAAGCGAGATTGAAATGGATTTAGATAATCTATTTCAGTCAGGAACCCCTGGAACTGAGAAGCCACACCTTGCCCAAGAATGAAACCTTTGAGTTGCAGTCCAAGAACATCTGAGAACCTAACATTGGTCTAGTCTAAGCTTGCAAAGGGAGATCCTCAAACTATGGGAGTGTGTAGTGTGAACTTGTTCACTTCCAGTTCTGAAACATTTCTCAACAGTATCAAAAACTAGTAGCAAATATAGACGTATTGTCATGACTGTAGAATACATTACTTCATTAAGAATGTTAGGTCCATTAATATGGTATTTCTTTCAGCAAAGATTTCTCTAGAAAGCATTTACATTAATGGGTAGAGTGTTCTCAGAATACCTTTAATACATTAGGTAATGCAAAGTTATCTAGGTGGAAAGCATTTACATTAATGGGTAGAGTGTTCTTCTCAGAATACCTTTAATCCATTAGGTAATGCCAAGTTATCTAGGTGGTCATATTAAGATGTGGGTTTGCAACATATTCGTTGGGAGTAGCCAGTAGAAATGTCTTTGAATGTGTTTCATGTGCCCTTACTTCCACAAAGTAGAAAAATGCTGGCAGGAAAAGGCACCTCCTCCCTTGGATGAGAGCCCAAGTGCATATGTTAAAAAGCTCCAGTAAGTACTTGCCAGTCTCTGAATCTTCTAAGCACACTAGTTTTTTTGCTCATAACTTTGATAACCCAGGAAAACCTTTGCAACAACATATAATATGGCAGTGGCAGGCCGGCTCTTAATGGATATGACGGAGTCCTATATATCTCAATATGTTTTTGGACTCCAGTTTCCATCACTTCAGAAAGCATTAAAAGAAGGGATGATAGGAGCTGAAGTGCAACAATATAGTAAGGCCACAGGTTCCCCAGATATACAGAGCCCAGTTGAATTTAAAAGGAAAAGCAAACTTAAAGGGAAATAAAACACCAATTGATCAGAAGCCAGTAACTGTGTGCAGTTGTGTAAGGGCAATCCCATCTGTTCTGCAACCTGCCCATCATGCACTTGGTCATCGTCTGGTTGACCAATTAACTGCAAACCCAATTGTACATCTGGTCATGAGATGGGTCCCAAGCAAAAGGGGGGTGGTGGTGGAAGTGATTGCCCCTGGTTTTCCTCAGCAGGACATTTGGCTGTGAGATGGGTCCCAAGCAAAAGGGGGGTGGAAATGATCGCCCTTGGTTTTCCTCAGCAGGACATTTGGCTATTGTGGGGTGCATGCAAAAGTCATATCTGAGCAATGGAGCTGCTCTGGAAGCATACTCCCTCTTGTCAGGTGAAGCAAAATGAGGTTCTTCCAGAGTTAAGCTCACTGGAAAACAGTTCTGTGAGTTTGCAGAAGGAGATGTCTGTGTACAGTTCTGACTGGCTAGTATCCGTTATGTACCATTTTTGGTTTAGAAGCTTTACCAGAATAGATGTTCTTTTAAACCACCATCACCATCTGGATGAAGCACGTACACATTTTTAAACTCTTGTTTTAAAAGAAGACAAATACATTGCCATTTGGAGAAGGTTATACTGATAACCAGCATCAGCTCTGAAGTTAGTAGGTACTCCTGTTTTTTCCATAGTGATCATGGGAGTGTTGGAAGAAAAGTAAGAGGTAAATGTGGTGACTGCTTCAGTAACCTCGTTTCTATTAGCTGAGGAAACTAAACAACAACAGAAATAGAGAATTATCTTTACTCTTTTAAAAGCTGTCAACTCAAGCTTATTTCTGTGCTGGACCACTTTCACAAAAGATAAAGTCCTGCCCCCAGGTCCTAGAGTTTAGCCCCAAAATCTCAAGGAATGGAATATCGCTGACCTGGCAACATTAGTATCATCATCACAGTCTGCTTTTGAAAAGACCGAGAAAGAAGAGGCCCTCTTAGATGACCTCATAAATAAAAAGGGAAAGAAAGTTTGCATAGAGAACTTGTTGTAGTAGTATTTCAATACAGAGTGAACTACAGAACATCGCATACAATTCTGAATATATTTGTTATGCAAGCACTTCCATTCATTAATGTAATAATTCAGAGTAGCCCTAAAGGTACAGTGAGAAGTTAGAAATTTCTTCATAAGCCAACAATTCAAGACCACAGAGGAAAATAGGAAATTTAACTTTTCCCTATTCCTCTTTCCTGATCTTCAAATGTTTCCAGTATATTTCTACTGGCATGGGAGAAAGGCCCCTTTTGCAAGAACACCAGAATCCTAATGGATCCAGCCAGTGGCTTGTTTAGCCCAGCACACTGTTCTAATAGTGAGCAGATGGGTATTCTGTTTCTGACACTGAAGAAAAAACAGAGCCTTGGTGATGAATAGTCAACTTATCCTCCACATATTTCTTTAATCCTTTTGAAAGCTGCCCAGTTCTCTCCCACTCCCTAACCCCGTTCTTGTTATCTGCAGGTTTGGAATACACATTTTGCTAAGATATACAGTTTCACCTTAGTGGCAGGGAAAAGATCCAAAGGATCCGCATAAACAAATAGATTGAAACACTTCTCTTTTTTTCCTCGTAGGTAACGTAGAAGCGGCCTTTGACTTGATCCTGATCAATTCACTCCCAGCTGTGGCTGATTTGGAGACATCCCTGATCTGCATCACATCTCGATGGTGTTCCCTGGACTCTATCAAAATTGCCCGAGACTATGATGCCCTGATGAACCAGCATCAATATCCCCTGGCAGTAGTTGAAGATGAGACAAGAGGGATCACCAAGAAGGTAGTATGGCAAAGAGAAAAGTCTGGTGAAAGCATTGGTGCATACTACTGTGAAGGCAAATTCAGAGATAAAGTGAAGAGGATACATACAATGAAGATGCAGCAAACAGGTATGTCCATGCACCTAGAAGCAAAGGGGTATTGAGGATCCAGCAGAGGATGCATACTTACAATTAAGCAGTTTCAAAAGGGCAAATATGAATTCTGGTAGGCTGAAATTAAATCAGGGCGCTCCTCTTAGAGAAAGTTATCAATGGCTGCTAGTTATAATGGTAAGGTATTGCCTCCAGAATCATAGGAAGTAGATCTCTGGGTACCATATAGTCTAGAAGTCAACTGGGATGGTGCTGTTTCATTCATATACTGCCTGTGAGTTTTCTGTAGACAACTGGCTGCCCACTTGTATAACACTGGACTTAGGTAGGTCTTTTTGAGGGTTGCTTTGCATCTGTTTTTATAAAGTACAGTGCTCTCTTTGAGGGCTTACCAGAGGTCAGTCCTCTTTTGTGGGTCTGCCCTGGCTTGTCCAAGTCTGATTAAAAGGTAAAGAACCATAAAGAGGGAGACTGGGAACCTTGAAGTTGCCCATCTGCAGTTAGCAGCTGGACAGCAAGCAGGCTGTGCAGGCATAGACATCCCCAGGCTGTAGTCTTCCCCTCTTGGATGAGATGTGCTCTCATTATGAAATTTTTTTCTGGCTTGGATTTGTACCTATAAATTAACACAATATCTTGCAATTTTATGCAAACCAGTATCTTCTAATGTATAATTGGCCACACGAGTCTTTTGTGTGATCCAGCATGGGTGATCTTAGGTTTTCATGATCTCGTGTACAGTTTCGGGAGTCACACAGGTGGCCCATGCACAGAAGCAAGAAAAGAGACACTCCATCAGGTATGGAGGACCTTGGAGGCTGAACCTGGCCTGTTATGTGCAGGTGGAGAGATGAGGAGTAAATCATACTTCAAATAAGTTTATTTCCTTGAACTTCCTTATTTGAGATGTCCAGACTTTGTGATATTTGCTTAGTTGAATCAAAATCGTGCTAGAAGAAAATGTAAGACTGAGAAAAATCAAATGATGGTCTAAGTAAAATCGTATGTCCTAGAGATCAGCTTAGGGTAGAGTGACCAAGTGAAAAAGAGGACAGGGCTACTGTACCATTCATAGTCATGTGGATGAATGTAAGCTATACGTGCTGAAATTATGACTCTGTAAAATTGTTAAAAGTATAGCAATCCTGTTCTACTTTTTACCTGGTCACCCTACCCTCAGCTGATCTCTAAAACAGAAAGAGTACAGTATTTTTTTGTGTGTAAGACACCCCATGTATAAGACGCCCCCAATTTTTCTAACAAAAAGTTAAGAAATCTAAGTGGGGCTTAGCAAGTGAAGGGGGAAAGCAGGGATCAAAGTGCTGCAGGATCGCTTTGATTCCTGCTCTCCCCTTTCTTGCTAAGCCTGCTTAGCAAGTGGAGGGGGAAAGCAGGGATCAAAGCACTTTGATGATTCCTGCTTTCCTCTTCCACTTTCTTGCGAAGAAAGTGCTTTCCCCCCCTCCACTTTCTTCACAAGAAAGTGTTCCCCCCTCCACTTCCTTGCAAAGTGTTTCCTTTTTTTGTTTGTTTATCTATCTATCTATCTATCTATCTATCTATCTATCTATCTATCTATCTATCTATCTATCTATCTATCTATCTATCTATCTATCTATCTATCTATCTATCTATCTATCTATCTATCT